TCCCGCGCCACCACCACGACCACCAGCACCAGCGCCACCACCATAGCCTCCTGCGCCGCCGGCACCTGCTCCACCTCCCGTGCCGAAACCGCCGGCAGCTCCCACACCACCACCTCGGCCTCCAGCACCAGCTCCACCACCGTAACCTCCTGCGCCGCCTGCACCTGCTCCTCCTCCTGCACCGAAACCGCCAGCACCTCCCACGCCACCACCACGACCGCCAGCGCCACCTGCACCAGCGCCACCACCATCACCACCTGCGCCGCCCCCTGCGCCAAAACCGCCTGGACCTCCTAGCCCACTACCTGCACCGAAACCTGTTCTTCTTCCACCACCTATTTTCAACAAAAGCATGTCAAAGAATAGAACAAGTAACATAAATTTCCTAACTAAAACATACCTCCAGCACCTGTATCACCTGGACCCGTACCACCTGTAAAACTTCCATCTGGAGCTACTTGTATGCCTTGAGCTGCTAATGCTTTAGCAATTGCTTCAGGTATAGGTGGAGGCGTCGGTAAATTATCACCAGAAGGTTGAAACCCGTTTTCGTCTGCAGTGTAAGCTATTTCAATGACCTCACCGTTTGGAGCGGTATACGAATAAGTGCCCATTACAGATGGTATTTCGTTGTCTGAGCCTCTATTTTTAATGGTACCTTCTTCTTGTGCTTTTATGCCATTTCCGGTTTCATAGCTAAACCGATAATTACCATCACCGTCATTTTCATTAATAAAAGATAAGATGGGAATAACTGGGCCCGCTGGTTGAGAGGGTCCCGATGGTTGTCTTGCGGGCGTCCCAAAGGGTCTACCAGGTCCGCCAGCACCGGAAAAACCACCTAAAGCATTATTGCCTCCACCAGGCCCTCCACCTCCCCCACTAAAACTTCCTGGGCCACTGGGACGTCCACCTGTTCCAGGACCTTGCAAACCAGGCCCACCGCCAGCAGTGGCTGCATTTGGTGGTGGAGGTAGATAGCTATTGTCTAGCTTAGCACTCTGAGCTAAAGCGAAGATGGTTAAAAATAATGGCTAGAAAAAAAGAACAATTATAGAAAATCAAATAGACTTAAAAGGCAGATAGGATTATATTCGTGACTTTTTTGTTTCATATGACCGATGACTCAGGGAAGTTCTTCATTCACGGTAAAACGTTGACCGTCAGAAAGAAGGCAGAAAGGAGAAAGAAATAACAAGTTCGCGGCCGTAGTCCAGTCAGTGTATGTCAATCAACCAATGTTATGCCTTTACCAATTAAGGACTCATTACATCACATCCAAAGAAAATTTTACCGCACTTGAGATTTGAGCCTGCGAAAATTGACTTTCTAGTCGTAGTTCTTACTTATTTGGTTGCTTAGGCGCATAAATGGTTTCAATATATAAACGGACGGTTAAGCCCATATCGGTTTTTTTCATTTACCTCATTTAAAAATGCAGTCTAGTACGTATGTTCATTCGTAGATAGAACTTAACTGCAAGTAATGAACTTTCACTTGCTTTTTGTAGCTACGTTGTGATACTTTAAGATTTCAGAATCTGCCGTATAAGACATGGAGATGTAAACCTTTCAATAGCGTTTACAAATTGTATGAAAATGTTATTAATATTCAAGAATGATTTCTAACATTAACTGTGTTCTTTTTGTCTTGCGTGTAAGAAAATTCTCTACGTAAGTCTTGTTTCTTTTTAACTCTGGCATCAACTAGAATGTATGTAACTATTGTTCATCGCATAGCGGCAGTCGAACCAATGCTTTGCCGTATCGAAAGCGTATAAAGCATAAAATAAAGAATACAAAAGCTTTCAGACACAACGCATTCAGTTCAATAGAAAATGAAATACTTTAGAGGTCACTATAATACGACAAAAAAAGGAGACAAAAAAGAATACCGTGAAAATATCTTTAAAAAAATGAAAGAATTTGAAAAAAAAGAAGTTGTGCATGAGCTAATGTTCAATATATAAACGATACTCATGACTACAATAGTTGATGATCGTCATCTTTATGCCTAAACATTAAAAATAAATAGTCATTTATTTATTTATTGAATTTGTGTTTTTGATAATTTTTACAATGATTTTTAAAAATCTAAAGTTCAAGCTTCAATACTTAAGCTATCTAAGTTAATAAATTGTATTGCTACACTTGAGCAACAGATGCGCGCCTCCGGGCAACATACGGTACATACATGTCCATCACGCATGAACTATGGCATTATTTTGTCATTTATGTTAATGTTGAGTCATTTGCTGATGTTTGCTGCCACAACTACAAAAGTTAAGCTGAAGGTGTTGATAAGTTTAATGTGCTATCACTACGCGCTATAGGTATTGATTTGATTCCTCACGTTTTACCCAGTAGCCGACTTTAAAATATACATAAGCATCGCTGTACAACATACCGAGAGTTTCTGCGATAAATACATAATATTCGTGTGAATTCTGAAGGAACATTTAATAGCTAACTTATACTCATACGTAAGCGTAAGCATTCGGTTTATCTGAGAAGAGTTTTGCATCTTTGTTGTTTCAATGGTTAACGTTTCCGTTAATTATGTTTTAAATATTAAACTTGATAAGTTTGAAGTCAAGTTGAAGTTCAACTCCGTGTTAGATAATAAGTTTATAGTATATTAAAAACGGATTTATGATGTTGCAATATAATTACATGATTAGTTTTAGAAAACAAATAATCATTAAATAATTCAATAATTAAATTAAAAGTATTTAGCATTCAAAAAAATATATTTATTACCAAAAAAAAAATGCGGTTATTTAGGGCAAATCATATTGAATTTCAGTTAATACGTTGTAGATATATGAACTGCTTTCGAACATAACCCTAATCGAAATTGTTTTCGCATCTCCCAATAGAGTAGAGTGCTGTACAATAATAGCTGTTTATTTAAATTGGCTAGAAATTCGTTGATTGAAAGAAGTATCTATAAAAAGCAGACTCGGAAGCGAGACAAACTCGATAACAAACCAGGGTTATTTGTCTTTTTATATTCATCACAGATACCATCTCCAGTAGCGGAATAGATTAAGCTATATCAGCCAGTCTATCTGCCAGTCTACCTTCTTATTGAGATTACGAGAAGTGTAGTGTATACTTATATTGCCTATACGAAATTCCGACCCAAAACTAGTTCAGAAAAATTATTCCTCAACATAATTAAGACATGACAACAGAATGGACGGACGGAGAGACAAGCTTAGAACGATTTAGAAAATGGCTCAAAGTCGACCGGTATATTAAAAGCTGGGTCTATCCCAAGTTCTTCTGCGTATTCAAAACATTCCCACAAACTTAATATGCCATGTTCACGAACAACGTAGAATATAAAAAATAAAAGCTGGGCCTAATGCAGTTGTTCACATAACGACTTGTCAAAATAGAACGTTACATGGACAGTGTTCCGAAAAGCGGTTTCATCCGAATCATATTCAGTGGTATCCGTCCTTGAGACCGGTATATCATATTGCATAAACACATTTCGAAAATTGTGACCTGTAGGTTGAACAAAGGAAAACGAGAGGGACAGACGAGCAGACAAGCTTAGATCGATTCAGAGCTACTTTCAGTATAACTGAAGGGGCTCTAACTCAAGTCCATCTGACTCCGTGTTAACTTAATAAACCGTTGAACCACAAATGTTGTAGAGTATAGTAAAATTGATTAATATAAAAGCTACGATAAATAATGTTATCTACATATAATGTTTAGTTAAAACACTATATATAGTGGTTAGTTTTTTGGCCATTTCTATGTAACCTTTCTTTTATTCTTGGCTGTAAATTATTCGAAAAGAGAGAATTTTCGTCCTGCTGTTAAAAATTTCTTTCAGCATCGTTTAAGCATTTGCTTTCAGTAGACGATGATACACCTTTACCCAAAATTTGTGCTCGTGGAATTATTTCTCATCAGACTTCACTGTAAAAACATTTGTATGTGATTTCAATTTTAATCGAGTTTACTGCTTATAATTTCCTTATGACAGAAA